ACTCGCGTTGTGCATGTTTACACCGGCTTTCGTATTAAACGGCTATGTCGATTCTTTTCGGCTTGAAAAAACTGTTTAAAAGTTGATTAAACTTCTTTATATGAGCTAAGAACAAAGATGAAACACATGTGTACGCAAATATCGTACTTTCAGCAAAGGTTGAGGCTTTTTTGGTGACTTTTAAGGCCGTTTTTGGTCAGAACGCCCTCAGTGTTTGAGCGAGAGCCTCGCTTGAATAGGTATCGATTGAAATTATAGATATTGAAAAAGGCCAAATTGTTTTTTTTGTGTGTGTGTTTTGATACTGTGATCAAAACACGCGGGACGCACGGAGAAAAATAACATCACAGACCTATAAGTGTAAGAAATAATTATATACTTATATATTACGAAGCAAATACTACAATGATTGTTATTATGACGAGGAATGTTCGTACGACACATAATAACTGTTTTGGGTGTTTTGAGAACGAAGCAAATACTACAATGATGGGAATTAAGATTTTCGCGAACTTTGCAAAAATATTTATTAGTACCAATAAAAAAAAGTTCGCTGAACTATTATTTCCGTAAAAAAATTGATAAATTTCAAAATTACTGATACAGGAAAATTTCGCGTAACGTGATTTCTCAACACTTGCAATGTTAGCGCTTTGGTAATATAAAAACCCTTTCTACTAATACGGGAAAAGTTCGCGTAACGTGATCTACTTAGCGCTAACTTCTAAATAGAAAGATATTTTTTGTAACTAGGCGATACTTAGCGCTAACTTCTAACTAGAAAGATATTTTAATACCAAAGCGCTACCTTCGCGAATGTTGAGAAATGAGGTTACGCGAACTTTTCCTGTATTAGTAGAAAGATATGTTTAGTGCTAAAGCGCTACTTCGCGTATGTTGAGAAATGAAGTTACGCGAACTTTTCCTGTATTAATAGAAAGACATTTTTAGTACCAAAGCGCTAACTTCGCGTATGTTGAGAAATGAAGTTACGCGAACTTTTCCTGTATTAGTAGAAAGACATTTTCAGTACCAAAGCGCTAACTTCGCGAATGTTGAGAAATGAAGTTACGCGAACTTTTCCTGTATTAGTAGAAAGATAGTATTTTTAGTACCAAAGCGCTAACTTCGGCTAACTTCTAACTAGAAAGATATTTTTAATACCAAAGCGCTAACTTCGCGAATGTTGAGAAATGAAGTTACGCGAACTTTTCCTGTATTAGTAGAAAGATAGTATTTTTAGTACCAAAGCGCTAACTTCGGCTAACTTCTAACTAGAAAGATATTTTTAATACCAAAGCGCTAACTTCGCGAATGTTGAGAAATGAAGTTACGCGAACTTTTCCGGTATTAGTAGAAAGAAATGTTTAGTACCAAAGCGCTAACTTCGCGAATGTTGAGAAATGAGGTTACGCGAACTTTTCCGGTATTAGTAGAAATATGTTTTTAATACCAAAGCGCTAACTTCGCGAATGTTGAGAAATGAGGTTACGCGAACTTTTCCGGTATTAGTAGAAATATGTTTTTAATACCAAAGCGCTAACTTCGCGAATGTTGAGAAATGAGGTTACGCGAACTTTTCC